CATATTAATTCTGTCTTGTATTTTCGCATTAAAAAGTTAGACATGTGCAAAACACTTTTCACTGTGAACTTAAAATGAGCACAAGTTTCCCAATCAGTTGGTGTTGGGGGAATCCCGCCAATACACCTTGATATAAAATTGGATCAAAATCTATTAATTCTTTCCTAAGTTCGCGGCTACCAAGCTTGGCATGTGCAAAACTGTTACACCTTCGCTGTGACCTTTAAAATGACCTCAATTTCACTAAATTCAAGTGGTGTCGGTAAATCTCCAATCACTAAACCTTGGTACCAAATTGGAACAAAATCCATCCTTTCTTTATCGAGATCTTTTAGTAAACAGAATGGGGAGTCATTTGAACAAGCGATTGTAGTTTTGAAATTGCAGTTTAATATCTAAATTTGATTCTAGCCGACTTCTACCAATCTCAAACGTAGCATATTTTGTTTCCTGAAGTTTGTGAAGCATTTTATTTCAGATTTTACGTTTTTTGGGAGTACCAAGCCAATATACAAAGTCTCACAAAAAGGGGATCGTGAGGCTGCAACATAGCAAAACCAATTTGCTTGAGGCTGACAGATAATATGTAGAAAAATAAAACATAAAAACAGCTGCATTTGTATCATATTCTAGGTGAGGCTGACTACTATTTGAACGTCCCTCGTAGTTATACCCGTTAGAACACCCACCCACCTCTCCGACTCAACATGCATGCAAGTGTGTTAGATATACCCGTTAGAAACCCACCACTACCCCACCCCCACTTTATAAGTATACATATCAAAACCTCAAAAGATGTTTGCGAAAAGACATGATACAGAGGACAGTTTATATCGATTATTTATCAGGACGAATATCATTTTCGTCATTTAGCTAATATTTGTCAATTCATTCTTGGGTTATCGCGCTAACAATCTTTATATTGGCAAAACCCTCAGATTTTTGCTGTGACCTTGAAAATTATCTCGTCACTCCATTACATTTTTGTCGGTGAATCTCGCCAATATACCTTGGTACCAAATTTGAACAAAATCCATCAATTCTTTCTTGAGTTATCGCCCTAACAAGCTTATTTGATGTATGAAATGCAACGAAAAACAAACACCCGCGTATTTACGAGTGATTAAAACTGTTATTACAATTTACGTAAATATTTATTACATTTTACCGCAACGAGAATTATAACAATTTACGTCAATTTTTATTACAATTTGCGTATTACAATTAACGTCAATTTTTTATTACAATTTACGTTTTTATTACAATTTACGTCAAGTTTATTACAATTTGCTGCAAGTATTACAATTTGCGTTTTTATTACAATTTACGTCGTAACATATGCTACCCACTGATCCCAGTGATGGTAGGAAAATACCAACAGGCAAAGGTAAACGTTTAATCGTTCTTCATGCTGGTTCCCACCGTGGATTCCTACCTGGGTGTGATCTGGTATTTCGGTCAAAGAGCACAGATGGTAGGGACTATCATACAGAAATGAACTCAACGGTTTTCACACAGTATGTTGAGGAACAGTTGTTGCCAGCTCTGCCTTACAAAAGTCTTGTTGTCATGGACAATGCTCCCTATCACAGTGTTCGAGATCCAAACAATAGGTGTCCAACTTCCAATACAAAGAAGTCAGATATGCAGCAATGGCTAACAAATAACAATATACAATTTTCAATTAAGGCCACTAAACCACAGTTGTACTCTTTGATTAAACCTAACAAACCTCCACCCACATATAACATTGACAACACGCTACGCCAACACGGCCATAAGGTCTTGAGATTACCACCATACCACTGTGATCTCAACCCAATCGAACTTATCTGGGGAGACCTTAAAAGTACAGTGGCCCGGAAAAATCAATCATTCAAGTTGAATGATGTCAAGCACATTGTCAACACTGTTATATGTGACATTGACATTGCACGCTGGCATGCATGTGTTGAACATGTCAAGAAGGTGGAGAAAGTGTACTGGCTCAAAGATGGCTTGAAGGAGCAAACAGTTAATCCAGTTGTCATTCGTCTGGACACTGATGACTCATCTGTGGAAGAATGGAGTGAACTTGATGAGGTTTATTTCTGTCATTATATTTACAGATAATAATAGTATCCAGCCAGATAAGCTCAAAGAAATATAACTTCTTTTAACAATCTAATTCCAACGACTTATAGTGTAACATGAAACACTCATTTCACATAAAATTATCATGAAAATATAAATATTAACTATCTATATGCTTAAAGCTCTTAGAAATGCATTGCTTAATTTGGAATGTGAACGACATCAAAACATAACACTTTTGTCTTCATTCTATCTTTTCTTCAATGAGTGTGCATTATTGTGTGTGCTTGTGTCCGAGGGAACGGGGCTTTAACAGTTGTTGAGTTCTAACCATAGGTGGTCCGATTAATGATTTAATGTAAATATACTTTCTGTGTTCTTTAAATGCATTTCCACTTAGGTACAGCATAAACAAAATGACATTAACATTACAAATTTAAAGATTTTAACCTACAGAATAATTCTCACTAATAGGTTTTGTGGTTAATGTTGAACAACTCAGAGAAACAAACTCCGTATGATGGTTAACAGTTGGCACCCACCTGACCCTATTCACGACCTGTGACACCTCTTCGTACCTGTCATGTGCATAGCTGACCTACATTGACGAACGTTGACCTTTATGACCCAACACTGACGCTGTTACAGGTCATTGGCTCCCTCACTCTGCATTTTGCTGACAGTTACATAGACAGATTCTTTAATACAAATGCATAAAATCAGTGATTTACAATGTGATTAGGTTGTCTGACAAAACATCCACTTGCACAGTTTGAGATCGATTGGATCATTGGATGATGAGATATTTACAAAAAAACGGGTCCGCATGCATTTCATGCCAAACTATAGACACCTTGATCACGATTCATTGCCGGTTTATGTCTCCTTATCTCCACAGCCTCCTGTAGTTTCCTCCGACGCCAGTTGTTGTTATTGCTCGAAAGCACCCTGGTGTCATTCCACATGATTACATGACTTGGGTTATTTGCCTTGTGCTCCGATATAGCTGACTGATCATTTTGTTTGCATACTGACGACTTGTGTTCAGCAACCCGGGTGTTGATGGGCCTGAGAGTCTCGCCAATATATTGATCGCCACAGCTGCATGGTATTTGGTATACACATCCTCTATAGTTTGGCATGAAATGCATGTGGACCCGGTTTTTTGTAAATATCTCTTCATCCAATGTCCCAATCGATCTTAAACTGTGCAAGTGGATGTTTTGTCAGACAACCTAATCACATTGTAAATCACCGATTTTATGCATTTGTATTAAAGAATCTGTCTATGTTACTGTCAACAAAATAAACAACAGAACGCAGAATGCTTGCAGAGGGCGGGAGCCAATGACCTGTAACAGCGTCAGTGTTGGGTCATAAAGGTCAACGTTCATCAATGTAGGTCAGCTATGCACGTGACAGGTATGAAGAGGTGTCACAGGTCGTGAATAGGGTAAGGTGGGTTCCAACTGTTAACCATCATACGGAGTTTGTTTCTCTGAGTTGTTCAACATTAACAACAAAACCCATTAGTGAGAATTATTCTGTAGGGTAAAATCTTTAAATTTTGCAAATAGCCGGCGAATGACATCTCTGATGACCCTGATGTCAAAAGAATCTAACGTTGGATGCCTACCTTTTTGTAAAAGGTTTTGTTTATTGGTTGTTGGTTTATTTTTCACAATTTTTATCACGATGTTCTTTTCATGCCAAGAGCAAAAGTTGTAGTTTCATGTAATCCGACACCTTATAAATCGGTTTGCTACGTTTGCTCTCTTGTAAAACAAAATTCAACACATTTCTAATTAAATGTTTAGCATCATCTGAATAAGCTTTCATGATGACAGCTAGAAGTAGTCAATGTGAATTATCCAAACGGTCTATCACTGTGCAGTGCACAGGTAACTATCATGAACTGCACGTGCATTGACCTTTATGACCCACCACTGACGCTGTTACAGGTCATTGGCTCCCTCCCTCTGCAAGCAGTCTGCGTTCTGCTGTTTATTTTGTTGACAGTTACATAGACAGATTCTTTAATACAAATGCATAAAATCGGTGATTTACAATGTGATTAGGTTGTCTGACAAAACATCCACTTGCACAGTTTAAGATCGATTGGGTCATTGGATGATGAGATATTTACAATAAACCGGGTCCACATGCATTTCATGCCAAACTATAGGGTTGGGGCTTCCATTTCTAGATCCTCTTCCATTTGCCTGGAGTGTCTTAATTGTTGTACCGCTAGAGAAAGTTACATCAAAGCTCGCTTTGCTCTTGATTAGTCGGGCTATCTGATGGCTGACTGGTCCCACGTAGGGTATAGTGATCCTGATCGGGGATGGTTCAGGCTTGAGGCGCGGTTCTGATGATTCAACCGTTTTGGTCTGAGTGCGGCGTTAACCATGCAGCAAACAAACAAAACTAAATGTGGCTTTATGCTACGCACACTGCCACATCTGCCATTGTGAAAGAATAAACACAAATAGACAATTAAACGAGAATGACTGTTCGCTAGAGCTGCGTTGTGTAAGTCTTAAAACCAACGAGCATTTTATAATCGGTGGCGTGGTACAAGAATGTTTTGTCAGGCACAGAAAGAACGGTGCACTAAGGTTTTTTTTGTGGCGGGTGTATAAAGAATTTTTCACCAGCTCTGAACTTCAATCCTCAAGCCCCGGGTGTATATTCGCAGTATTGTATCAGGATCCCGCGAACCAATCGTATTTCGTCTTTCTGATATGGAGGTTGGTTAAACGTTTCATCTATGCTATGCACCCCATGAGCCCAGTCGAGTGGTTGCCTGGTCACGATTACGTCATAGTGCCATATATGGAACAAGGGTTTCCGGGAAATCCTCAATCGGGTTCTCAGAACATTAATTACCATATCAATGCATATACAGAACAATAGCCATCACTGTTCTCAGTGCAGGGGATACAAACAAACTTCCACGAAGCAATATCGAGTTTCCAATCATATTACCTGAGCCTTTTCATTGCACAAACCGTGGCGATAGGTGAAACTTGGTCACGTGAAGACACGTTTACATTTAGATGTGGTTCACTAAGTTTCTGTGCTCGACCCTTGCCTTAAACAGCAGAAGTTTCCAGGTAAACTGAAATATATGCCACCGCTCTGGATTCGGAAGTGAGCCATTTGGCTATCGCGACCTGACAGTTCCAGGAACAACCCTCAGTGCACCAGAGACGTTTGGGCTCGCTTCGTCTTCAAGGTTGTGATCTACTGTCGTCAATGTTGTGATCGACTTCTAACTGTCGCCAGTGTTTGTTGAAGTTGTCACGAGCAGATATAGTTTGGGTAAGTTTTCCAGCAATGACACGCGGGCTAATTAACACAGACCGCACGTGTATGTGGTCAGATGGTTTGTTTATGAAATTATTCATGTGCATTGTGGAAATGGTTTTCAGCAACCCATGTTAAATGTAGGTGGTGACTGGTGAGATGGGGGGTAACTTGTAACTGATACTGCGGATTTGTATAGTTATTTATTTCACTGTGCTGTGCTCAGTGATGCATATCGATCAGTTTAGTACATTGATGCTCGTAATGTCAAACCCGTGAAGGTCCGGGTTATAACATTGATCTTCCGTAACCCATGCTTGTCAGGCTCGCTGACTTTTTTGGTAAAGTATTTTTATTCACTTTACTTGGTTACATTTGAACAAGATATGTGGGTAGAGTAGAATGGTACAGGTTGCCTAATAAAAAGCAGACAATGTATAACATATGGTACTGGGACTATAGATTAACAATTGAGATGCTAGCCAATATTACAGAGAATTAAAAGACTAAAAAATAAATTACAGGACTGCATCTAGGACATTCCATTTTCTGTAAAAATGTTTCATATTATCGTTTTTCTTCTCGATAAATTTCTCTATCTCGTAGACATCTTTTAATAATGTTCTGTAGATAGTGAAGCTAGGTTTGTGTCCTTTTATATTCATTACGAAAATGTGGGGCTTTGCCAATAGTGTGGTTGAGTAAGTGGTTACTACTGCAACAAAATAGAATATCATGGTTTGACATTTCATACGTTTTACCAAGGACTTGAGTTATAAAATTGATAAATTCTGACAAGAACATTTTGATGGTTGGACAATCAAGGTATACATGGTAAATATCCTCACTTACTGAACCACATAATGTACATAGGTCATTATCTATCAATTTCATTTTTAGTAATTCTCGTTTAGTGTAAATGACTCTATGCAAAAACTTATATTGAAAATCTAAGAGTTTCCCGTCTTTAGTGCATTGTCTATATTGTGAAAATATGGTTTTCCAATTTATCAACTCATTTAGTTCCCCGTTCCATTTGAGACACACATTCGGAATGTTATAGTCAGATATAAAATTATCATAGAACATCCTTGAACCTTTACTAGGTTTAATCAAATCGTTCCAAGGAGAGCACATAGATAACGACGGTATATTAAAATTGATGTTTGTTAGTATAACTTCTTTCCACTGTTTGGGTATACTAAGGAGAACACGATTAAAGTACAGTACAGTACCTTTAATACCAAATTTTGCCTTAAGTTCTGCAAATGTTAGAAATGCGTGGTCGTTACAAATATCTTTAATATAAACTATTCCACATTTAAACCAGTTATGAATGATCAAACTTGGCTGGTTACACTGGTGATTTAACCATAGTGGCTGCATGAGTATTTCATTAATGTCGTTATTGTTACATACCGATCTTTTAACATGTCTATGCCAGGCATCAAGAGAATCTTTCCAAAATGGATTTTAATATTATAATGTTTTGTGATGTTGGCTCCTAAAAAAGAAGGTTTTGTAGAGGGAAACCGGCGAGAGAATAGTTCTTAGGTTTTGAAATATATCTCTTCAAACATGAAAGTTTTAAAGAGTCGATAAAGGTTTTCACGTCGACCATTCTTAGACCACCTTCTTCGTACCTTCGTACTAAATTAATTCGTTTTATTTTATCAATTTTATCATTCCATATAAATTTGAAGAATAATCTGTTCAAATCAGTAATAAATGTTTTTCGGGGATTAAGGAGAGAAGAGAAGATGTGGACAATCGTGGATAAAGCTAAACTTTTAACGACGGTTATTTTCCTTATCAACGTTAAATTGCGTCTTTTCCAATTCAGTAGAATTCTTTTTATATTTTCGAGTCTCTTCTTTGTATTGATTACCCATAGGTTTTCTAAATGAGCATTTAATTTGATTCCCAATACTTCGAAATTCTCATTATGCCAATCCAGCTTATAGTCCTGGGATAGAACTATTTTACTACCTGCCATTGAGCATCTAGCCATACTGTTTTTGTTTTATCAATATTTATTTTCAAACCTGACATCTTGTAAAAGGAAAGCAAAGTTTTCATAGTTTCATTAAGAGGGGTTTAGGAACCGTCCAAAAATAATTCAGTGTCATCTGCATATTGATCAATAACATGTTCGATGTCGTTTAAAGTCAGGCTCGCTGACTTGGTTGACACATGTCATCGGTTCCCAATTGCGCAGATCGATGCTCATGCTGTTGATCACTGGATTGTCTCGTGCAGACTCGATTATTTCCAGAACGCCACCATATGGCTGGAATATTGCTGAGTGCGGCATTAAACTAAACTCACTCACTTGTAATGTCAATCAGGGGTTGCTGGCATGGTTGATGGTAGTCATCATTTCTACTTGGCATAAATTGCTGCTAATAGTGTCTATCACTGGATTGTCTGTTCCAAAGTAGGTTATATATTTACATACTGACTTTATACAGATGAAATATTACTAGCGATAGGAGGTGGGGGTAGCTCAGTGGTTAAAGTGTTCGCTCGTGACACCGAAGACCTGGGTTCCATTCCCAACTTGGGTACTATGTGTGAAGCCCATTTGTTGTGTCACCTGCTGTGATATTGCTGAAACAGTGCTGCTTAAAATGAAAACTCACTCACTGGTTTCCTTTGTTGATTATCTCCCTTGGTAGAGATCGAGTGCCGAGGTTGATCTGGGATTATGGGTTGGATGGGGTGGCTGTCGGGGAGCGTATCTCTGGGGTCTTTGTCATTTGTCATTGTCTCAACTGACCCCATTGTCTCAACTGACATCATTGTTTGAACTGGCCCCATTGTCTCAACTGACCCCATTGTCAGAACAGTGATCACTGACAATGTTGAAAAATTATATGTATGCAACTGTTAAAAACATTTTAGTTGGATCTGTGTTAAGGTTGTCAGTGTCCCAGAGACTAATCACTGATCTTGGGGTGTATTTTGTTGATTATTGCTCACTTTAATAGAGTGAGTGAGTGAGGTTTTATGCTGCTTTTAGCAATATTCAAGCAATATCAGGGCATGCGACACCAGAAATGGGCTTCACACATTGTGCCCATGAGGGGAATCAAACCCAGGTCTTCGGTGTAATGAGTGGACACTTTAACCACTAGGCTACGACCCTACCCTTAAAAATAAAACTGACATATTCGAAGAGTTTTGGTAATGATATTTATGTTATTTTACGGTTAAAATATCAAACCTCCCACCTCCTGTATATTTTAATTAAACTTTTAACAAAACAAAACATATAGTTTAAACATTTATTTTTTTCTGCTTGACATTGCACCTTGTGCCGACTAAGGTATGCAGTGTTCAATATAAGATCTACTAAAAATAGTTTTGCCTAGACAGAATGCACGTGCAGATTACATTGTGAAAAAACACTTAAATCATGATTATCAATGTAAATAACATATGACATTTTGTTCTGAACTGTCATTAAATCAACAGTGTCAAAAGTGCCTTTCGGCATTCATATGAAACCTAAACTTATAATATAAAATTAATTCTGATTAATATGTAAACATGTTGCATATGTTGAAATTTATCTGATGTTTTTGGGGACCGTTTCTGACAAAATACTGACTGGCAATGGAAATATAATAAGCATGAAAGACACAACTTCAAGATCATATTAAGATCAGTGTTACACTTAAAAAGGCTTAAAAAATAACATGACCTGCCATTTCTTAGAAACCTGGAGCACGGCAACTTGACAGTTGTTAGGGACCTGAACAAAACATAAGGAGCCATGGAGCACAGCACCAGGAAGTTCATGTTATATCATGATGTTTTGGGAAACAATGTTGATAAATTGCTCTATGTTTCCTGCATCATTGATTTAGGACAGTGTTCCCACAGGCTACATCCAGCAGCTTGAGTTTCAACTTCTGTTCAAGGGACACACTTCACTACAGATGTATGCAGTTGTGTACTTGTAAACTGAGATATAAACACATTCCCAACATGTATGATCCAGTTCTATTTTCTGAGAAAGCACAAGCTGAGACATGTAAACATGCTGTGTAATCATTAGAGTACTTTATCAACTTAAGTGATTGTCTGGTAGGTGATTATCTAGCATGTGATTGTCTACTTAGGAGATTGCCTTGTAGGTGATTGTCTTGTAGGTGATTGTCTAGTAGGTAATTGTCTATTAGGTGATTGTCTAGTAGGAGATTCACGTGTAGGTGATTGTCTTGGTGATTGTCTGGTAGGTGATTATCTAGCATGTGATTGTCTACTTAGGAGAGTGCCCTTGTAGGTGATTGTCTAGTAGGAGATTCACGTGTAGGTGATTGTCTGGAAGGTGATGTCTTGTAGGTGAGTGTCTGGAAGGTGATTGTCTTGTAGGTGATTGTCTGGAAGGTGATTGTCTTGTAGCAGATTGTCTAGTAGGTGATTGTCATGTAGGTGATTGTCTAGTAGGTGATTGTTCTGTAGCAGATTGTCTAGTAGGTGATTGTCTTATAGACGATTGTCTAGTAGGTATTTATAGTACTGGTTATTGTCTTGAAGATGATTGTTTTGTAGGTGATTGTCTAGTAGGTGATTGTCTTGTAGATGATTCTCTAGTAGGTGATTTATAGTAGGTTATTGTCTACAAGATGATTGTCTAGTAGGTGATTGTCTTGTAGCTGATTGTCTAGTAGGTGATTTATAGTAGGTTATTGTCTTCAAGATGATTGTCATGTAGGTGATTGTCTAGTAGGGAGTCAGCAAGTGCATGCTACAGGGTCTGATCTTAAATGGGACTCTTCTTTTATATAAATAACAAACACACCTTGAGATACATGATAATGAAAGCTGTAATATGTGTGGCAACTGTACTCTACTCTTATTGATGGTTTTGTTTTATCACAGGTATTTTAGTGAGTTTACTTTTACACAGCACTCAGCAATATTCCAGCTATATGGTGGTTATCACAAGTATTACATCAACAGATAAAGTTTTAAGTCACCTGTTAAAGACACAAGTTAATATATGATTGTCTGGAAGATGATTGTCTTGTAGGTGTCTGGAAGGTGTGTCTTGTAGCAGATTGTCTAGTAGGTGATTGTCATGTAGGTGATTGTCTAGTAGGTGATTGTTCTGTAGCAGATTGTCTAGTAGGTGATTGTCCTATAGACGATTGTCTAGTAGGTATGTATAGTACTGGTTATTGTCTTGAAGATGATTGTTTTGTAGGTGATTGTCTAGTAGGTGATTGTCTTGTAGCAGATTGTCTAGTAGGTGATTGTTTAGTTGGTGATTGTCTTGTAGATGATTGTCTAGTAGGTGATTGTCTTGTAGCAGATTGTCTAGTAGGTGATTGTCAAGAAGGTGATTGCCTAGTAGGTGATTGTCTTGTAGATGGTTGTCTAGTAGGTGATTTATAGTAGGTTATTGTCTTCAAGATGATTGTCTTGTAGGTGATTGTCTAGTAGGTGATTGTCTTATAGATAATTGTCTAGTAGGTGATTTATAGTAGGTTATTGTCTTCAAGATGATTGTCTTGTAGGTGATTGTCTAGTAGGTGATTGTCTTGTAGATGATTGTCTAGTAGGTGATTTATAGTAGGTTATTGTCTTCAAGATGATTGTCTAGTAGGTGATTGTCTAGTAGGTGATTGTCTTGTAGGGGATTGTCTAGTAGGTGATTAATAGTAGGTTATTGTCTTCAAGATGATTGTCTTGTAGGTGATTGTCTAGTAGGTGATTGTCTTCTGGACAATTGTCTAGTAGGTGATTTATAGTAGGTTATTGTCTTCAAGATGATTGTCTAGTAGGTGATTGTATCGTAGATGATTGTCTAGTAGGTGATTCATAGTAGGTTATTGTCTTCAAGATGATTGTCATGTAGGTGATTGTCTAGTAAGGAGTCAGCAAGTGCATGCTACAGGGTCTGATCTTAAATGGGACTCTTCTTTTATATAAATAACAAACACACCTTGAGATACATGATAATGAAAGCTGTAATATGTGTGGCAACTGTACTCTACTCTTATTGATGGTTTTGTTTTATCACAGGTATTTTAGTGAGTTTACTTTTACACAGCACTCAACAATATTCCAGCTATATGGTGGTTATCACAAGTATTACATCAACAGATAAAGTTTTAAGTCACCTGTTAAAGACACAAGTTAATATATGATTGTCTGGAAGATGATTGTCTTGTAGGTGATTGTCTTGAAGGTGATTGTCTTGTAGCAGATTGCCTAGAAGGTGATTGTCATGTAGGTGATTGTTCTGTAGCAGATTGTCTGGTAGGTGATTGTCCTATAGACGATTGTCTAGTAGGTATGTATAGTACTGGTTATTATCTTGAAGATGATTGTTTTATAGGTGATTGTTTTATAGGTGATTGTCTTGTAGCAGATTGTCTAGTAGGTGATTGTCTAGTTGGTGATTGTCTTGTAGGTGATTGTCTTGTAGATGATTGTCTAGTAGGTGATTGTCTTGTAGCAGATTGTCTAGTAGGTGATTGTCAAGAAGGTGATTGCCTAGTAGGTGAGGTTGTCTTGTAGATGGTTGTCTAGTAGGTGATTTATAGTAGGTTATTGTCTTCAAGATGATTGTCTTGTAGGTGATTGTCTAGTAGGTGATTGTCTTGTAGATGATTGTCTAGTAGGTGATTTATAGTAGGTTATTGTCTTCAAGATGATTGTCGTGTAGGTGATTGTCTAGTAGGTGAATTGTCTTGTAGATGGTTGTCTAGTAGGTGATTTATAGTAGGTTATTGTCTTCAAGATGATTGTCTTGTAGGTGATTGTCTAGTAGGTGATTGTCTTGTAGATGATTGTCTAGTAGGTGATTTATAGTAGGTTATTGTCTTCAAGATGATTGTCTTGTAGGTGATTGTCTAGTAGGTGATTGTCTTGTAGATGATTGTCTAGTAGGTGATTTATAGTAGGTTATTGTCTTCAAGATGATTGTCTTGTAGGTGATTGTCTAGTAGGTGATTGTCTTCTGGACAATTGTCTAGTAGGTGATTTATAGTAGGTTATTGTCTTCAAGATGATTGTCTAGTAGGTGATTGTCTAGTAGGTGATTGTCTTGTAGATGATTGTCTAGTAGGTGATTTATAGTAGGTTATTGTCTTCAAGATGATTGTCTTGTAGATGATTGTCTAGTAGGTGATTGTCTTGTAGATGATTGTCTAGTAGGTGATTTATAGTAGGTTATTGTCTTCAAGATGATTGTCATGTAGGTGATTGTCTAGTAGGGAGTCAGCAAGTGCATGCTACAGGGTCTGATCTTAAATGGGACTGTTCTTTTATATAAATAACAAACACACCTTGAGATACATGATAATGAAAGCTGTAATATGAGTGGCAACTGTACTCTACTCTTATTGATGGTTTTGTCTTATCACAGGTATTTTAGTGAGTTTACTTTTACACAGCACTCAACAATATTCCAGCTATATGGTGGTTATCACAAGTATTACATCAACAGATAAAGTTTTAAGTCACCTGTTAAAGACACAAGTTAATATATGAACACTAAATTTGAATATAGACTATACAATTTTAAATGAATAAACGTGCTGTCCAAGATATTTTTTATGGATTAAACTTCTTTTTAATTTCTCTCACAACGTTTCGAGACCATTCCAGGTCCCTTCATCAGGTGAACTGGCAGTTAGGACTATGACGTCGTCACTATGACGTCATTACTGAGTTATGACGTCACAATGCAAGTGACATCACAGTACACTAGGGAGAGTACTGTATAAGTGAGTTAGTTACATAATGATGAAATTTATGCTAAATAATAGAGTTGAAAGTTGAATTGTCAATACACAACAACTGCTAATTACACAAAGGTTACTTGATAGCAGGCTTTCCAAAAAGAATAGTAGACTCGTTTTTTCTTGTATCTAAAGTTCATCAAAAGTTCATCAAAAGTTAATCAAGAGGTCCCACGCACTTGGCAGGTATACACCTTGATCACGATTAATTGCTGGTTTATGTCTCCTTATCTGACAGCTTCCTGTAGTTTTCTCCGAAGCCAGTCATTGTTATTTCTCGAAATCACGAGTCTAAAAAACGAGTCTACTATTCTTTTTGGAAAGCCTGCTATCAAGTAACCTTTGTGTAATTAGCAGTTGTTGTGTATTGACAATTCAACTTTCAACTCTATTATTTAGCATGAATTTCATCATTATGTAACTAACTCACTTATACAGTACTCTCCCTAGTGTACTGTGATGTCACTTGCATTGTGACGTCATAACTCAGTAATGACGTCATAGTGACGACGTCATAGTCCTAACTGCCAGTTCACCTGATGAAGGGACCTGGAATGGTCTCGAAACGTTGTGAGAGAAATTAAAAAAGAAGTTTAATCCATAAAAAATATCTTGGACATCACTGTACAACTTCTAAATGCCACTGAAAGACATCAATAAACATGCTGATATTACAATGTTTAGGTAAATAATCCTAGTGCAAAATCTCTTTGAATTTATTGGCTGTGTACACAATAGAAATACATTACACTTATGACGTCTCTATACATATATAGAATACTTTATGTCAGAATGGTGTGTAACAGTAACAGAAAATACCAAACTGAAATCCTCTGTTCATAAACCAAATTGTCTGAGATTGCTGCATTTGGAATATTCTAGGCAACTAAGGGGATCAGGTGGTCAGACTCCCATATGAGTAGATCGATGCTGTGCATGGGGGATGCACAGTTCATTTTTACCTGTTTTTACGAGAGTTTCAATGGTCATTTAATAAACTGTCAAACTGTCAGGACAAAAGTGGACAGGGGTGTATCTCTGCACCCCCCTCTGGATCTGCCTATGTACACCTGTATTACTAGATTGTCAAACACTATAAACATACTGTATTACTTCAAAACAACACAATATAGAGATAATAGACATACAACTCACCTGATTTGAGATGACGACTTCACTCTTTGCTGACCTGCACAGTTCTGCCTTGTGTTGAGAAATCGTGCAATGTAATCAAAACGTATGGTTTAACACAGATTAACAGTAGTACAGGTACACTGTACAGACCAATTTTATTTCTTGTTTTACGGATTTTTGTCCTCAGAAAACTTAACGGCTGGAGGGGGAAAAAAATATAAAATCAAAATCACCAGTCAAAGTAATATTCCTTCTTAATACCCAAAGTATTTTACTTTTGGCAATTTATGAAGTGTATATAGGGCAAAATACAATCTAAATAAAATTTCTCGTAAGTTTACACTTTTGGCCAATTTAGGATTTTATTTTTGAGCAGGGAATTTAAAAAAAATAATTCATATTCGTGAAAAAATCTGACCGGCAGATCCGTAAAACAAGAAATAAAATTGTTCTTGCTTTGTGAAAAGACATTTCACTCTTCATCTTCTGCTTGTTTTTCAGAGCGAAAAAGATTGCATGTCTTTAAGGGGACCAGGAAAGCTAACCTGTGTCTAAGAAACACCTCAGAACAAATTGAAGGAAGGAATCCTGACAAAACCAAAATGTAAGAATTTTGGAACTTCTCTGCTTATTCCTTATCAGTTTGAGGCTAGAACAATTCATATCCTTCAGATCACCTACAGGCTACTCACCATCAACTGTTTTCCCATAGACTTCTATAGTAACCTTAAAAAAAAATTAAAAATAGACAGGCTATCAACAGCCATTCCATGTACACATGGGTACACTCTGGCCTTTAAACTACCATAAAACACAATATCTGGCCAACTTGTCCAGCTCGTTTTGTGAGCACAGGAAGCGGAACACATCAACCACATTTCAAACTGAACAGGGGTGTTACCACAAAATAAGAACAAAGACAACATAAATATATGGCATGGGGTGAGGGAGTTGATCTTGTGCCAACCTTCAATGTTGTTGTTTGTTCTGTGGCCATCATTAGCAAAGTGGTTCCAAGTCAGTTGGTCCCAGGCTCTCTCAATCCATGTTGTTGTCACATAGTCCATAAACTTGACACAGGCCTCTCCCTTGGGACTTTCACCGATAGCCTCTAGCCACACATTTTCGACTTGGTCAAAGTGCACAAAGGGAAGGGCTTTAGCTCGGCTCATCAGTTGATAAAATCTCCTTTCTCCTTATACGTTGCTGCAAGTCCGAGATTTTGAATCGTCATCTCTCATATTGCAAACAAGCACTCTACACTCGAAACTCTTTTTATGTTCGTCTATACTCCAACTAGAATCTCCATGTATTTAGTTACTTAATTAACTTGCATTTCCTCATTAGAAGAATAACTTTCATTAATCCTATTACTAAGTGTTTGAAAATAAACTGACTGCTTGTAATCTCTTTATTGTCAGATCACTTGGACATATCTTAAGTGCTAAACCCCTTTAGTTAATCAAATCTCATTAGTAAGCATCTTGAGACCCCCAAGATCTCCAATAGCCTCTCCCAAATAGATTTTACAGGTCAGTGACTCCACGGCTCACACTGAACCATGGAGAAATCACTCATGCGTGGTTAGACAATCCAGGTATAGTCAGGGCCTAACAATTAGACGAACCAGGTTGTAATCGTTTACATACGGACCGGCTCAGCGAGCAAGCAGATACTGATTTAGTGTAGTGGAACCTATAGAAAAATTTAGAAACATTTGCCCTAGGCAAATCTGTGATTTATGTACTGTATATACCGGTACATGTAACTTCTCAGAAAAATATAAAATTGCATGAAGCTTCAATACTTTTTCCTGTCCAACATATCTATATGGCACAAGAATATAATGATTTGCTGCACTGACAGAGCTGTAGGAGTTATATCATGTCTATTTCACCAAAGCTATACAAAATGCACTTCTGCATTAATAGAGAAAGGTTTCAAATCATACATATACCATGGGTGTTTACTCTTATTTCACAAAAGAAGGGGGGCCATGGGTTAATTCCATGCATGACTGGGACTGCCTTGATCATATCAATCCAAAATATATTTTGAACGACAATAATCATGGAATTCAGGTCAGAAATTGGACAGGTTTAACATTAAGCAGCTTTAACATCCTGACATATGTAAGGCTGGATGATGAACTTTGCCAGAATGTAATAAGTGAGGGGTTGGATAATGCCTAGCAGTCTGAAACACTGACCACAGTACCCTGCCGCCTGTTAGTCGATCAAGGCAAATGACCCCTTCAACAGATGAAATCACTTTTAGACCACAGCATGATAAGAACTTACACTTGAATCTATTGATTCATCAAGCTAAGACTTTGAAATACTTCCAGACATTCAAAATTATTGACTGTGTATTGTTTTGAGGCTGTTAGACTTGCCAATTTCATGTATAAGCCTTGATAACTTAAGTTTGCAATCTTGACTTAAAAGCTAAACCAGCTCAGTCTGGTTTTACTACTTGACAGTTTACTGCATCGTCAGCCTTACTAGTATACATTTCCCTATTTACTGCACATTACTTCTCTTCCCTCCTTTCTTTTCTTATCCACTGTATGACAATTCTCTATTTCAACCCCCAGTATTTCAAGCCCCTAAACAGTATTTTAATATTTTCCATTATGACTTATGGAAAATTATTTTATGTTGAATTTGCGTTGTATATTTGTTTCTTGTGTTTTGAATATACACACATTGAGCTTGTAAAGGTGAAACTTGTTATCTTGATGAAATGGAAGCAGCAGCCTGAGCGTATTTCACATCCTTTGACAAATAACCCGGTCTGTCCTCAAACTGATCTGTTTATATTCATATTTGAGGATGCCGGTTGATATCTCGACATACCGACAGACAATAGGTTTTTTTAAATGATTTCACAGTTAAATTCCCATGCAAAATTTAAAAAAACTTCATATGCCATAATGACGTTATGTTTATACAATCCGCAAGTGCAGCTGATTATGTTACTAATTCTTCTATGCTGTGGTGATGTGCACCCAAATCCAGGCCCACTTGCTTATCCTGACTTAAAATAGTTCATCTGAATGAGCGTAGCATAAGAGAAAAAGTTGATTTAATCAAGGCAGAATTAAGTGACTATGATGTTATATGTTTAACAGAAACATGGTTGAAAGTCACAATTGATAACAATAATATTCTTATCCCCGGTTACCACGCCCCTTTTAGGAAAGATAGACCATCAAAAGGTGGAGGTGTTGCTATCTATGTGAGAGAGAACCTGCATGTTACACATGCTGATAAGTTGTCTCCCTTAGGTTTAGAAGCGATCTGGGTTAAAGTTATGTGTAAAAACAAGAGCTATTTGATTGGAAACTTTTACAGAGCAGATAAAAGTGACCATTATTGGGAGCTAGTCCTCCAATCAATTGGTAATGGCATTGACATGGGCATAGATACTATTATTGCTGGTGACTTTAACATCAATATACATAACCAGACTAATAACATGATTGACAATCTTCTTGATACATATGACTTACAGCAACTTATCACAGAACCAACAAGGATCACCCAAACGACTAGTACGTTAATTGATTTAATCTTTGTTTCAAACCCTAATTGTATTCGCACTTCGGGTGTGCTTGATCCTTTTTTTGCAGTGATCATTGTCCAGTTTATGTCTCTGTTGGGGGCTCTGATTCAACGCCTTTAAAATTTAAAAGGAAAGTATTTTATTATGATTTAGCTAATACTGAGGGAATGAATCGCGGCCTTAACAACGTTGACTGGGATTCCATCTTTAGATGTAATGATATTGATTACTAACACATGAATTTGTTGATGTTTTGAGAAATATATGTGATATTTATGTCCCAAACAATGTGGTAACAATAAGACCTCGGGACAATCCATGGATGAATAGTGCTATAAGAATACTTATCAGGAAAAGAAATAGACAGCATAAGAAAGCAAAGACTCCAAATTATGATAAAGACTGGCAAAAATTTAGGCTTTTACGGAACAAAGTAACGGCAGCCGTGAGAGCAGCCAAATTGAAATATATTTCTGAATTAGATGATAAGATCAATCAGGGGAGTAATTCTAAATTTTGGTGGGCTTTAGTGAATAAGTATATAAAATCCAAAAATCGAGATTATAAGAAATTTCCTTCGATTATTCATAACGATAATAAGTTCAATGATAGTAAAGATAAAGCAAATATATTTAATGAATATTTTGCTGACCACGCACAAGTTGACTATCCTGATAAGGAGACTCCTACACTTGAATGTAAAGTAAAGACCCCACTTGCGTCTATTGTATTGACTACACAAGAAGTAAGAGACATCCCATTATCAGTTGATATTTCCATAGCCAGTGTACCAGACAAAACAGGTAACAGATTTATCCAAATGATCGTGCCATCCCTTTGTACTCCTCTTACTAATCTATTCAATTTATCCCTAGAATATTGTAAATTCCCAACAATATGGAAGGAAGCCATTGTCATTCCTATTCATAAAAAAGGTAGTTTTAATGAATGTAAAAACTATAGACCAGTTGCTCTTACCAGCTGTTTATCAAAGGTATTTGAGAAATGTATTTTTAAACATGTGTTTAACTTTTTTGTAGATAATAACGTATTAACGAATTTGCAGTCGGGATTCATGCCTGGGGATGGAACTGTATACCAACTGACATACTTGTATGATTTTATACTACATGCATTAGACAATGGCAAAGAAGTCAGGGCAGTTTTCTGTGACATAAGCAAGGCTTTTGACAAGGTTTGGCATAAGGGAATCATAGCGAAATTAGAAGCTTATGGTATTAAGGGTAAGTTACTTGATTGGTTTTCCAGTTATCTTGACAATAGATTGCAGAGAGTAGTTATAGACAATTCCAATTCAGATCTAAGGAAAGTCACTGCTGGGGTGCCACAACGATCTGTCCATGGGCCATTACTGTTTTTAGTTTACATAAATGATATCATTGAGGGTATCAGTAGTAACATTCGTCTTTTTGCCGACGATGCTTCGATAATCATGTTGTTACAGCCGCTTCCTTAAATAATGACCTAAACAGGATCTCTCACTGGGCTGAACTATGGCAGGTTAGCTTTAATCCTGGTAAGACTGAAGCTGTTTTATTCACTCGCAGAAATACCGGTAACCAACTTCCAATTCCTAAGCTTAAAATGCATGGAGTAGACATTACTGAAGCCGGCTACCATAAACACCTAGGAGTAACCTTGCAATCAGACTGTAAATGGAACTCCCACATTGGTGAATTAGTTAAAAAGGTTTGTCCATTGGTAAATTGTCTACGTAGTTTTAAATACAGATTATCTAGAAAATCATTAGAGCAAATGTACAAGTCATATATATTACCAACGTTCGATTACTGTTCGCACCTTTGGGATAACTGTACTAAAGAACAAGAAAAACTTGTCGAAAATCTACATTTAGACGCACTGCGGATGATTTGCGGGGCAGTTAGAGGAACAAATCATGACTTAATATATAAGGAAACTAACTCTATGCCCCTAGTTGACCGTAGACAAATTAGCAAGTTATCATTATTTTACAAAATGGTTCATCATATGACACCAGTTTATTTAACTGATCTA